TTTCAGGGCCTGACGGCAAACGTGTGTCTGGGTCATCAGAGTCAGGATCGGGCCCTTAGACAAGAAACTGGGAAAAGGAAGAGAAGTAGCTTATAACCATTTAAACTTGAAAATCTGCATTGAAATGTTAAGTTTATCACAATAACACAGAGGAAAACATTGAGGAGTGAAAGAAACTACTCACAAAAAAAAAAAAAAAAAAAAAAAAAAAAAAAAAAAAAAAAAAAAAAAAAAAAAAAAAAAAAAAAAAAAAAAAACCCACGTTCTCTATGATTTTGTTTGGAGGCAGTGGTGGTTTGGCAGTAAAATACTCCCCTTCCATGTGGGAGACCCAGGTCCAGGTTCAACTGCCAGCCAATTCACCCCACATTCAGCCACCACCTGTCTGTCAGAGAGGCTTGTGTGTGTTGTTATGATGCTGAACATGTTTCAACGGAGCTTCCAGACTAAGACACACTAAGAAGAAAGGCCTGGCTGTCTACTTCTGAAAACCAGGCAATAAAAGCTCTACAGATTACAACAGTCTGATCCGCAGTTGATCACACAGACAGTGCAGGACTGGGAAGCGTTTTGTTCTATTGTGCATGTGGTCACTATATGGCAGGTAACAGCTGTGCATGTGGCCACTATATGGCAGGTAACAGCTGTCTATGTGGCCACTATACAGCAGATAACAACATGATTTGTTCTGAAGCAAACGAAATGAAGCTCTGGTGTTCAGAATCATATTTAGGTGTTAAAACTATAAAGAAAAGCAAAGGGGCAATTACCTAAGTCAAGGACAGTGGTTACATTTGGCAAGCTTCTGAGGTGCTGGCAACATTCTCTTTCTTGATGTGGGCAGTGATTATATATATATGGGTGTTTGCTTTATAACCATTTCCTATGTACTTATATTTTATGATCTTTTGTATTTGTGTTTATTTCACAACAACAAAAAAATAAGTTAAAAAGGAAAAATCAAGTACACAAGATCAGACAGTTACATTCAGAAGCTTTAGCAGGGTAAAACATAAGACTTGAGCCAATACCAGAATAATTCATGCAAGAGAAAGCAAACACAGTAATTTAAGTATAAAGGCACTCCTCTCCCAACCTAATTTTATGGTTTGCTTTGGTGTGGAGACTCACAGTCTACACATACAAAACCAGACTAGCAAACTCTATTTGCCCAGAATAATAAATGCAGCACACTACCCCATAGCAGGTGTGAATAACGCTTGTCACTGCGCACACTTTCTCCATATTGGTCACTGTTTGCAGAGCACTCTCACATACCTTAACTCACAGTTCAAGGCTGGTGTTATCACCAATGTAAAGATAAAGAAGCTAGCCTCAGGAGAAGACGACTCACCCCAAGTGCAGCTCAAGTAAGAAGCCGAATGCAGACCAGCACCAGATCTGAGACCCTCACTCCAGGGCTCCTTTAAAACAAGGACTTTCCCATTCCCAGGAGGTGAGCTCACTGCCATTCAGTCAGTCCTGACTCATAGCGACCCCTCCTTGGATTTCCAAGGCAGTATCTCTACGGAAGTAGACTGCCCAGTCTTCCTTCTGGTTAGCAGTCAAATGCCTTAGGCACTATACTACCAGAGCTCCTAGGAGGTGAGCAGGCCCACATTTTTTACATGTGAAAACAAAGAGATGATGAGAAAAGTAATTACTCTCAGCATGAGAATGTCACCTCCTCTGAGTCACTTTCACTCTTTCATTGAAGCACTGGCCAAGGGGCATTGTAAAGATTAGCTTTCTCCCTTCCCTCTCCCACCCGCTCCAAAAAAACATTAGCTTCCCTCACTAGACAATGAATACCTTGAGAATGGAGCGCTAGCTTTCTGGGTCCCTAGAGGCTTTTGCTCGGAAGGAAGGTTGGGCAATCCTACTTCTGTAGTGATACTGCTTCGGAAACCCAAGGAGGGGTCGCTATGAGTCGGGGCCAACTGGACGACGGGGGCAGACTCGACCACGGCACATAACAACAACAACAGAGGCTTTTGCAGCCACTCCTTGGATGGAAGATTGGGCAATCTACTTCTGTAGAGATACCACCTCAGAAACCCAAGGAGGGATCAACTATGAGTTGAATTGACTTGACGGCAGTGAGTCTGATTTTTGGGTTCAGGGCTTTGTTTACAGGGGCTCTGGTGGTGCAGTGGTTAAAGCACTTAACTGTGAACCAAAAGGTAGGTGGTTCAAACCCTTCAGCTCTTCCACAGAAGATGAAGCAGTCTGCTTCCACAAAGATTTACAGCCTTGGAAACCCAATGGGGGTCGCTGTGAGTCTGAATGGATTTGATGGCAGTGAATGTGAGTTTGAGGACTTTGTTTAAGGCCTCTGGGTGGTAAGCTCTCAGCTGCTAACCAAAAGATTGGCACTTCAAACCCAACCAGAGGAGCCTTGGAAAAACCTGGTGATCTGCTTCAGAAGGTCATCACTATGGAAACCGTATTGGGACACCATTCTACTTTGAGACACCTGGGGCCACTAAGAGTCAGAATCCACTCAACAGCTACTGCTTTGTTTTTGTTTTTAGGGCTTTGCATAGTAGTACGTGGTACCAAAAAAAAAAAAACCAAACCCACTGTCATTGAGTTGATTAGGACTCACAGCGACCCCCACTGCGTTTCCAACGTGATAAATCTTTACAGAAGTAAATTGCTCAGTCTTCCTTCCATGGTAGGTGGTAGGTGCTCCATAAATATGCCCTAATGAGTGAATGAATGAATATACGAAGGTACAAACTAATACATTCAGAGTCCAGTGTTTTCCACACCATACTATCATTCCTGCATAGTGCCACTTGCATTAAGATTTTAAAAAGCAGCTAAAATGACAGGTGGTAGGTAACTATCCTTTTGAAGATTGCCAATACATCCTCTGGTACTTAAAAAAAGGTTTCATGTCAGATATAAATCTCCAAAGTAGAAAGGCTGACAGGTTAATTATAGAGACAAAGAGCAGGGGAAAATGGACCATGAGGTAAGCGAGTGGAAATGTGCAGAGACAATGCCTTCCCGGGGCAAGCAGTTAGTAATAAGCCTGCAAGGATGTACCCACATGGCCGGATTCCACTCTATGCCAGGCCTGGGAGGGGGTGTCCAGATTTGGGGGAGGCACAGTTCCTGCGACTGAGCAATGCAGATGGTAGCTGGGAAGACTGTGTGTACCTGTGAGAACAATCAGGGAAGTCTAGCAGGACAAGGTGTGCAGCTGAAGGACAAGGCTAAGAACTGAAGCGCCTGCTCCCTTAGGCAGTGGAACAGTCAGAGGAGACCTCCCGACTTGGCCAGGCCCACCTAGCAAGAAGGGTGAGTAGGATTGGGGCTGGCAGAAAAGCCAAGAGGAGGCCCTGATTCTTCTCCTTCTGTTCTACCTTTTGCACTCCTTCAGCTGCTGGAGGCGGGGACTTAAGTTAAAATGACCTATAGGCACCTTCCTGGCCTGCCCAAGGAAGAGGAGTGTTTATAATATTCAGGGAGGCAAGTTTGAGCTGTGCTTCTGCAGTCAGATAGGCCAGAAATGGAATGTACCACCTTCAAGCAGGGAGTGGCCACCAATGGGTGTGCATCTGCT